CAGGTAAACAGTATGAAATGAATTTCAAAATAAAAGCAGAAAATTGGCTTTTCCTGTCATTTTGCATGAATGAACTTGCATTTATTTTGTCTTTTCTTATGACTTTGAAATGACTTACTAGTACATTAAAAAAACTATTGTATTACTATTGAATAACTCAAACATATACTTTTTAAATCAAGTTTTATGAAATTCAGCCAAAACAGTCTTTTTTTATGATTGGTTTCTTTGCAAAAAATGTAGAGGCCAAAGTAATTTAGAAAAAAAGTGRCTTTATGACAGAATTATAATCATCAAAAAAGTCACGCACTAAATAAATAAATCTAATTTAAATATTAAAACTGTTTTTTAAGCTAAACTCCACAACTGTAACTAAACAATTTGAGCCCAAGGCAGCAGAAGTTGGTGGTAAAAGGCGACGCAGATGCCGACTGACCTTCTTCTGGCTGCTCTGCTCCGTCTCCTGAGCCGGCTGCTCGGTCGACGCCACTTTGACCACTTCCTGTTTCTTGTTGATCCTGTTCTTCCAGTCCTCCTCGCCACTCTTCTTCAGCAGAGCCACTCTGACCAACGACAAAGGGGCATTTTTTTAGGCAAATATTTGAGAGCATGCTTGTGTCTCCAGTCACAAGATGAAAACATCTCATTCAGCACTGCAGAGAAAAGAAATCACTTCTGACCTGATTGTTGTTGTTAAGAGAAGCTTAYCTGCTCATCATTCGTGCTTTATTATGTTTCATTTTGTACGATTTAAATGCACTATGGAGGGAATCTGGGCTCAATTTCTAATTTTCCAGATGTATATTAAAGTATCSAGTTGAAGTAGCCTCTGTGATGGATTCAGACCTAAGCTGTCAGAGCAGAAGAGTTGAATCAAGGCTCATCACTGACAGCTTCTGATTGGTTCTTGAGAGTTTCTCTTATAAAACCAACAATGAAATGCTCTGAATGTTTTTTTGTGAGCAAACTGAACGTCTATAAAGATAAGCACATGGGCAGCGCTATTAATGGGTGGCTGATGGCTGAAGGAAAGTGTGTCATCGCTGCTGCTGTTTGAGCATGGACAGGGCAGAAATGAGGGCATTCTGAGGGATGGGTTAAACCTCAGAGGATCCCATCAGTCTGCACAGCTCCCTGCTGGCTGCAAGGAAAAATATATATACCACTAAAGATTTAAAGTGCCAGTGATATCAATTTTTTTGTAATAAATCCATCCATCCATCCATCCATCCATCCATCCATCCATTTTCTTCCGCCTATCCGGGGTCGGGTCG